TTACATTATATAAATATGACTGCATGAATATATGGTGGAAAAAGCTGCGCGCGAATACAGTAGCTGGGGTGCCTGTGGTGCGCGTCATTCATTGTAAAACTATAGCCAAATACTAATAATGAGAGTTCTTATTGTAGATATAGAAGTCAATAATCCATTCCCGCCACATTAGCCAGTTTCTTAACCCTTCCCCCTTTGGGAGAAACACTAGGGGGAGGATGAAGGTGGAGTGGGGGAGAGGGGAGGACTGCACCTTTAGATCGGCTTTTTCTTGTTCGATTTCCATTTTTATTCGATCGACCTCATCAGCCAAAGTTTGCGCATTTTCCTTCTCGACTTTTTCACGTTGTTCCGCCTGAAAACAAATGGGAATCAAATGTTTATTACATTAAAGCAAGGATTAAAAAGTATGTAAGAAGCTTCGCAGTAAATTTTACCTCTATCTTGTGACGAAGTTCWGAGTTTCCCTTCATAAATGACGTTTGAGTTTTCGCCTCCTGAGAAAGACAAAAAGTCATCATGGTATGCCAAAAACTGAACTATAAACAGCAGTTCAAGTGTGTCGCTATTGGTTGGAAAAACCGTGGCGGGAAAATTGTAGGCAAGCGCGTCAAAAACTGGCACTGTATGTCAAGCGCAAGCAACATCATAGGGAGCACCAACAACAATTTCACAGCAACAACATCACATAAATGATATCCATTATATAGGTTTACATCAAACAATGTTTTTGATTCTGAAAAATCAAGCTCCTGATCTGGCTGACCTCCTCCGAGATACTCGTTCAAATACTCAGCATTATCGACAAAACGTACGAACATTATGAACAACGAATAAGGCTACAAACTTCTGCCTTTCATATCTACAATTTAGTACCCTGCAAGCAGAGTATTTTTTTTTTCTCCGACCAGCCAGCCCTTGGTGGGTCAGGGAAAAAAATCTTTGCTGACAGGGTAACAATTTAGAGGTCTTACTGTTCCTTGCCACAATCCTACAAACCTCTTTTTCAGCTTTTTGTTTTTCTTGTATTTCTTTGAGTTTGTGTTTGATTTTCTTCAGCTCGTCATTCTCTCCTTTCAGCTTCTCTTTGATGTTATGGATGGTGGCTACCATAAACTTCAGCTCATCCTCGCCATCTTTTCCTATGGATATTYCAGAACGTATTACACGAATTAAAAGGGATTATCATCTCTAATATCGTGATAGGGCAGTTTGTGCGTGTGTCCTTGGCAAGGATAATAGGAGAAGGATACTGGACAACGTCAATTGTCAAACTATTCATTTAAATGCTATTACTTTTTTGGTGTTTTTCTCGGCTTTTCGATATCTAGCAATCACATTGCTCAGCATAACTGGAAAACTAAATTATTTTTTTACACTACTTTGTTTATGGTTGCCTTTGTTGTTGTTGTTTATATCGCAGCATTGAACTCTAGCTATTTTAAACTTGAAGGAGGTCACGATGACTCCAAAACGCCATATWTTGTCGAAACGTCAGTCACCAACAACACTGAACAGTCTTTCTCACGACTACACTCACCTGGACGATCACACTTCACAACAAATATTGTTGGTATCATTGAATTTTGTAATTTTGTGTATTTCAAAACCTTTGTTGCTGTTGTTGTCGTTGTTGTTGTTTTTTGCCATGATCTTACCAGATTCAGTAAGCTTAGAGTAATCTGTGATCTTCCCCTGTAAATCATCCTTCAGTTCGTCGACCAGTTTGCGCTTTTCCTTGAACTCTGTCGTAAGCTAAAACAGTTACAGGACATATCCGATAAGAATAACTATTAAACTTTTGTAAGAATATTATTTTGTTCGTGTGCGTCAAAGGTAGTGCACTCTCACCTCTGGACTCGGCATAACATGTSAGGAGTTTGTTACTGTAGGCCTCTCTTTTGATTCGAGGGTTCTTCTCTGGGTTCTCCGGTTTTCCTCCCTCAACAAAACCCATCATGCTAAATTTCAATTCCATCTATGAGTTAGGCGTACCCTGACTTACATCAGCCCAGGGGTTGTTGCAGGGTTCGATCTGTGAGTTAGGCGTACCCTGACTTATATCAGCCCAGGGGTTGTTTCAGGGTTCAATTTTTGAGTAAGCCATACCCTGACTTTTAATCAGCCCATAGGTTGTTTCWGGGTTCGAACTGTGAGTTAGCCGTGCCCTGACTTTGATCAGACTTTTTGGCTTCCTACCTGATCTTTTTCTTTTTGAAGCACCATGAGTCTCTCTTGTACCTCCTTGTTGTCTCTTTTCATCGTATCCATCACCCAGTCGAGAATACCCTAAAAAAAGGATATRAGATGATGCTTGCTAACCCAATGTTACTGGCAGAACTATTATGATTTTAAGGGTGTGAGTGTCACTTTGAGAGCTAGAGTACTGTATATGTAGCAGAGCATATGGCTTTCTACTTAAATTTTAGTGTTTTAATGCTCCAAATAGAGGCGAGTTACTAGTCACCTATACTACCTCCTGGATCCATTATTGAGTGCACGGGCTGATGATTCATGAGTTTTTTATTACTAACCTTGTTGGCTAAATTCAGGCGCCTTTCCTCATCAAAGTTTTGTGAGATTCTTTCCTTTTCCTCCCATGTTTGTCTCTTGGCTGTCTGTAGGTCTTTGATAAGCTCCTGTGTGACAACAGGAAATCACTATGATAAGTACATACACAAACCGTTTTCCCACTGGCCAATCGTCCAATCAGATTTTATATGCACCCTCAAGAACTGGTATATTATAGAAACTGCTATCAGCCAATCAGAATGAAGTAATAATGCCCTTCACTTAACACAGMAAGTAAACAGCCAATAAGAATGAGGCAATTTTGCAATTACCAAAATTAGTGTAGGACATAAAACCTTCCATCGGTCAATCAGARAAAAGTACCTTTGTCTACATGTAGCTTGTCATAAGAAAGGAATAATTGCTTTATTTTGTATCACTAAGTTACTGTACCTCCATTTGTGTGACATCTTCCTTATTGGGTCCACTAGTGATTCCCGTTCTGGCTAGCTTTTCTCTTAATCTTGTGATTTCATCYCTTATGTCTTTAATAATTTTCGTGTTTTCTATCTACAGATTGAAAACAGATATTAATCGTACTATAATATAATATTACTATCCTCACATTCTTCAATATTAATCWTTTTCAGAAAACTAAACAGAAAACAGAAAAACATTAACAGAAAACTAAAATAAATTCTTGAAGAGTTTCTTCTGTTAAACAAAAAGTTTTACTTTTATAATCTTTTTCTTTGTTTTATACACTTTATTTATCTTTCCTCCTTTTCTCTTTCATCCACCCTGTCATTYCTTTCCTTGCTTCCTTTTTCTCATTTAATTTCTTTTATTTCTTTCCTTTTTCTACCTTTTTTTTCTTATTCTTCATTTTCCCATTTCTTTTTTCTTTCTTCTTTCCTCGTTTCTTATCCTTATTCTATTTCTATTTCTTTCTCTTTGTATTAGAGTCTTACCTCATTTGTCTTGATCATATTTTTCACATTTCTCATCTTACTGCCACATTGCAGACTCAATAAAGTATCCTCAAAATCAGAGTCTGTAAAGATAACCAGAAAGATTAATCTGTTAATATCCAAAAAAAATTCCCTTTCTACATTGAAGCAGRGTGATTCTTACCAGCTGGTGAAACAGATATCAACATTGTCGTATATGAAGAACCTCCAAGAGAATCCTGTAAGAAGACAAACATTACTAATAGCTTCATGTTTCGTTATACACCTACAGTGTATTTCAAAAAAATATTTTTTTGAATTTTGCTACTTCACTTACAGCGCTTCTCAATCACATGGGTGAAATCATGAAAAACTTTTTCGAGACATARTAGAGTTTTGGTGGACACCAATCAATTTGTTTCCAAAACATTGTTAGAAAACACAGAGCTTTTAAGGGCATGTGCCTATTCTCTGAAAAAAATTGTCAAATCCCCCCTCCCCCATTTCACTGCTAAAAAATTATCCGATCCCCCCTAAATTTCACCTGCCCGACTCCCCCCCCCCTCTGCCATACATTATGAACGTAACCTTAGTTTCCAAACTCTTATTGTATGACAAATATTCCGTCACAAATTTGGGGTAAATTTATCAGTAAGAAAAATACCAGTACATCATAAATYATATAGTACCTGTAAGATCCTAGTGATTTTAGAATCTCGGTAGGGAACTACGCCTTCCTTTTTAGAAGCCACAGCTAGTGTGCTGATGACTGAATTAAGTGCATTGACTCTGAAAATGTAATACAGTAATAGAGAAAATCAAACTTTGACTGKAGCAATACTTCAATTTTTGTTACYAAAGATCAATTGAACCCTGATCAAGAGGATGTCATCAAGCTCACCCTTTGTTATAGAAGACTGCTCCTTGCTTCACAGAAATGTCTGCGTTGTCTGACCTTTCAGAACCTAMAAAATAATGAACCACAATCTTAACTATTTTTGTGCTCTGGGCTAATGATCCACCTAAGTATAGGATATAAGTTCTCATATATGGTTTATTGAAAATTTGCAAAAWAGTGAAAGCAAATTATTGTTCAATAGTTAATACACTGTAGCTGAAAAGTAATTTTTCTAATCTTTTAAGTTTTGTGATTTTGAGCTACCAATAGGGTATACATTGGCAGCTAGTTGGGAGAAAATATATACCATACTGGCCGAAACTGCAAAGCAACATAGGGGAATATGGGATATGTATTTGCTTTCAGTGCCGTCAATATAAACACTTATTGGTAACTAAAAGTCTTAATATAGTTCTGTTTCACGATTTTCCTACTTTGAGGTAATTCTGAGCTGAAAGTATGGGTTTACATGTATGTTGGCAGCTCTCTTTCAAWCAAACTTATGGGAGAATCAATCCACTTTCTAAAGTTTTTTACTCCAGTAGCATTGTCTTACCTGCCATATCTACCAAAGTTATCTTGGACCTGATGCCTGCACCAGAAGAACCTTTCTCTGTGTTTCTTTGTTCCACATTGATCATGAATATGCTGTCTGACCTACATGTACATGAAATACACCAAAGATTACATGTAGCAGTTACCAAACACTTCAGGCATGTAAAACCAAATGCTTTATAAACTAAGTCAGTTAATAGAACATTCTTTACACCAAATCAAAAGTTCCATATCAAGCTTTACTCTATGTGTTAGTGTCGAAGTTGGAGTAGAGAAAGCTCACTCCATATATGGTATGATCAATTCCATATTTGGATTGAGCGGAAAAACCGCAAACAAAAAGGCCGTCGTTTTATAACAAATTCGACATGAACATTTTTGAAGAAGAAAAGAAAAGAAAAAAAAAAAGACAAGTAAAAAAAGAAAAACTTTGGAAAATCGCAAAGGATACGGGGACAATGCTAACTCGTGGGTCTGCCTTGCAGACAACAGACACAGGGAGATACGACACTCAATGTTTGATATGTCTAATTATGCGATAGCTAATGGTCATCATTTTCTAGGTTTATTAGGACATGACAAAACTATGATGGAGTTACATACTTCAGCTATTATCATTGCTATGTGCTGATCGAGACAAAAGTCATGACAGGGAAATCAGGCAATTAAAGACTACAGTACCATCAATGAAGGCCATYAGTTGAGCAAGCAAAATGTACAAAGTTGGCATATTACCTGGAAGCACCTTTACTCTTATCAGCTGAAGCAAGCTTCTTGACTCGGTTTCCTTGCTCATACAACCGCAATATGTCCTCTGCATTCTCAACTACCAGCTCAGCCAAACCTTCTACATAACTACAGGTACAGTACAACAAAAAATACTTCTTTATAAATGTGGTTACTTTTTATGTACGCCCCTCCGGAGTGGGCTGCGCGTGGGGTTGGGAAGAGTCCCTCATCCCAGAGAGCCGCTGTGCAGGCTAGTATGATAGAAGATGACAAAGTGTGGATCTATATACAGTACCTACAGTATCTGACAGTGAAACAGCAAATTGTTTGTTTGATTGCTTGTGTTTATTTGTTTGGTTGTTTGTTTGTTTATTTATTTTTTGTAATTTTATTAACATTTTTATGCTACATGTATAATAATGATATATATAGTTTACACTCGTTTAACAATAATTGGATAGACAAGTAGAAAAAAAAAATTATTATTTTAATAATAATTGTTTGTTTATACTTACATGCCAAGTTGAGGGTGTTGTCGAACTCTCAGTTCATAACCACTTGGGTTTAATAGGTCATTGATCGATTCTTGATAGATCTGGTAATTGAAAAGTCATAATAAGCCTAAGCTGAAAATCACAAAAAYTGCTGGGAACACAATGACCAACATTTCATTTATATTACATTTTTCTTTGAAATGATTAAATGAGGCCCTAAATTAGGTCTTGTCAAGAAGCTCATACAGCAAGAACATTTTAGTCTCAGTGGGGATGTTTTTTTTTTGCAAGAAAGGAAAACAATTATTTATAAAGGCTAAAATAAAACCTCAATGGTAGTTGCACTCATTCAAATATTTACAGTGAAAATATTTTAAAAAACAATTCTTTTGAAAACCAACTGAAGGTAGTCACTTAGGGGAGACGATCGCTCACGAAAGTTGTCGCTCAAAAAGAGTCAACTGTATTCGCGGTACTGTATTCGCATACAGCACTCACTGATGTATGATGGCACAGAAATAATGGTGAAACATGTTCAAAAATTCAAGAGTGTTCTCTAAAGCTAGTASAAAAGAAAAATGATTGGAACCAGTTTTCACCTCGGAGACCTGTGTGGTAACTTCCCTGCATCAGAAACCCCCAAAAAATCTAGTGCATCCCCTGTTGATTTGTATTATAAAGTTAACAGAACAATAAATATTTCSGGTACCAACCTCATAGTAGGAAACTGTAACAAAGAATTGTTTATTTGGAGGTGCTTCATCAATTTGCTTGAATAATTCTTGGTTGAACTGAAAAATACCACGACAACATAAAATGTGAGCTTAAAACAAACCTGTACATCACATACTGTACACAGTTAAAGAATGATTACTATTCCCTGGCCTAAACTGATACAACAACTTTACAGGTGTACATACAATTTAATTCTGTCAATAATCTACAGTCCTGAAAAAGTGTCAGAGTGTTCATGACAGTGAAATAAAAATTCTCAGATACTAGAAAATAATAAACTTACCAAAGGAATAATTCCTGGTTCTTCTTCAGATCCTCTCATGGTAAATGTTTTACCTGTATTTGTCTAAGTCATAAAGTAGTATAGCATTAACTAGATAAATAACACCTTAGAATCAAAGTCATTACAGTATGGACTTGTTTGCCATGCCAAGTGGGGTTGTCTCGTAAGACAAGCTGTCAGGCACTGTCATACCTTCTCTGTGATACYAAAAATGATACATTGTGGTCTAGCTAAGAGTACAAATATCTTTTGATTATGATGCCGCACATGGTATTATTTGTACCACAACGCATCCTGTTCATTGAAYGTGGCTGAGGCACTAAGTGAGACTTTCTGTGTGATACCAAACATGGTGCATTGTGGTCTATCTTGGGTGCATAGGCATCATATTATGAATCCAATCCTCTACATTAATGAACAACCTTAATCAACAAGTCTTTAACTAACCTGACCATAGCACAAGAGAGTGACATTGTATCCAGTAAGTGCTTTGTTGAGAAGAGGTGCACCAAGATCATGGTAAAGCTGCTCCTGTGTTATCAGTAAATGTTGATTAATTAATAGTTTATTTGTTAATAATATCACACAATCTAATGATCTAAAGATAAGTAGAAAGTCAGAAAATACCATGTTACATCATAATATGTTGTGACTGTGATGTGACACAATCTTTTAGGGACTGAGAGGGAGGGGCTGGAGGGAGGGGCTAGAGGGAGGGCTGGAGGGAGGGGCTTAGGGTGCCATTATTCCATTCCCTATGTAACTCAATAATAAAGACTTTGCATAATCATGTGTCAGCAACCATAATACAGGTTGGGCTGCCTGTGGTTAGCTGGCAGAACAATAAAATCCCTTTGCTCTCAGGAATTGAATTCTTTCTTATGAAAGATGATTGTATTGCAATCTAACATGGCTGCCTTCACRTGATAGTRCAATTTAAACCTCTATTTCCAATAAATTTCAAGTCTCAGCACCCTCCTCTTAGTCTTTAACCCATATAATTATTCAATCTGAGCCTMCCCAGATTGCACAGAAGCTGCTTTACAGAGATATTATGCTGAACATGTGGATTGGGACTTAACATTGTGGTAGGTTAATGCATGGGTAGCTAGTAGATTACCATAAACCAAGTAAATTGTGAGAGAAAGCAAAGGTACATTTACAAGTGTGGGAACAAYATTCTAAGAATTTGTTTATTAACCTGTCATTAGTTAATTTTGTCTCAATCAGCATGTACAGTATAAAGCAATATATGAAAACAGTGGCAAACTTACAGTCTTAGCCTCCCAGAAGTAACTGTGGTCAAATGTGAATGAGTGCTCCTGTACAAGAGTTAATAAAATTATAATCTTATTTTACTATCAATCAATCCAGCTGAGTGGTGAGCGTGGCACGCAAAGCATTAAGTGGACAAAATGACCGGCCCTAAGCATTTTTTGAGCTTGAAAAAATGAAGCAAACTTGGTAAGTAAAGTTTTTATTTTTATTTTTCCATATTTCTGCTTCTCGTAAGTGCKTACGTTTACTGTACATATTATGTTTTAGTCAAAGAATAACAGAAAAATATGCAAAAGTTGGGTTACAGTAGCCAAGGAATGAAGGCTGGAAGCAAAATAGGTGAACGGTATGTGATTGGCTGAAAAAAAATTCACTGCTAAGATGGATAAAGTAGGCCTATATATTTTATCTTTTTTTTTCCCTCTCTTTTTTCTTAAAAGAAAGCTACATGCCTGTAGCAATAATACTGTAAATGATGATGTTTCATTGCTGACATGACAACATCATTATCAAGTCCAAAAAATGTGTCCTTATTTTGAATGTCAATTAATGCCTGGCATTAACGTTATTCTCTTACCTTGGTAGCTGATCCAGGCTGTGGRTTGTGAACAATAATTTTCTCCCCACTCATCTTCACCACTCTAGTAGAGGCCTTAGCTTTTTCATTTTCTAGTTTAAAATAATTGTAAATTAATAGGCATGCCGTTTCTTTCAAAACTAGAGTGCCCTAAAATAGGTAAATATGACCCTGCATCCAACTAAGTAAATGGCACTCTGTACAGCACGGTGCAGTCACAGCCATTTCGACATGGAAAAGGTCTCTTTTGTTTGCTATTGAAAGTAAATATAAAGAATATTTTTCGGTTTTTAATTCTTTATCTTTTTCCCCCTCAAAAAATATAGTATTTTGCAATTCTAACAAGAGACACAAAATATTGTCTTGCAAATACAATATTACAATCTTCATTAAAACAAAAAGGATTGCTTGATTGGACCGATGTACGGCCGAGAAAAAAGTTGCATGGTCCAAATTTTCTCTAAAACATCAAAATTCAAAATAATCCAACGTCATCAATAATATATCATTTCCTCCTCCAAATTTGACGAACATAATAATAAGATAGACACTTTCTTTCTATTTGTATCATTAGGTCTTGGACTACGTGTCAGCAGAATTTTCTAAGAATGATAGCTAACGTTTAATCCTTCGAAGCTCACATCTCCATGATATGATTGCAGCCAGAAGCAGCCATACTTCCCTCTCTTAAAYTGGTTTAGAATTTTGGACTTATTTTTATTGGTATCCCTAGTTATGTACGTATCTTGTTGCTGAAGGAAACTTGGACGTTAAAGTCTAAATAAAACCCTTAATAAGAGAGTGAACTCACAAATAAACGTAAATTTGAAGGAAGCTTTTAGTTGACTTACCAGTRAACGGTCTACAGCGAACTGCAACCTTCACGTTTGTGCCCTCAGAACCCTTCATTTCAAAGAAACTCCAGTTAGCTTGGAATCAAAACTCTATCAGTTATAATCAAGCAAAACTATGGGTTACCATTTTGTAGTATTATTGAGGTGATTTAGGAATTTGCATGGAGGATTTGTCTTCTCTTCTTCACCATTGTATTCTTGTTCCTTGGCAAAGAAGAACACGTGACGTCAATATCAAAACATAGCAACAACCGACTGGCACCTAGTCCAAGTTGTTGGGCTTCCTGTGCGCTTGAACAGGAAAAAAAAAAAACAAGACGCGAAGGAGGAAGGAAGAAGATAACTAAAACCCGAAACTAAAAATCACAAAACAGATTTTATTTTTTCATTTTCAAGGGACAGGGAGATTATATTTGTAGTATTTTTGGTGAAATGTACCGCCGTCCCTCTAGACGGAACTATTTTATTATTTACAGTGATGTCACAATCAAGCTACTTATGGCTGAGATTCCAGCTTAAATTTGACAAAATTCAAAATAAGTTTTACAGTTATACAATATTTGTACATTTACGATTTAGAATTTTCTTTTTAACCTTTCTATATTTTTCCATTCATTATTCCTAATCATTCAGGCCTTTTTTATTTATGAAAAGGTTCGATACCAAAAATTCAAATATTGAAAATAACGTGACAAAAAGGATGTCATTTTGCTGAAACTATTTAACTAAAGCACTGTTTCTTTATCGATAAATCTGTCTTCTTGAATAATTGACTGTTCTTTGTTTATATATGAGATAGAAGGTAACAATATCATTAAAATGAAAGTTTTTATTGAACTAATTAGCCTTCTGCAACAGTGAGGAGCTCTTCTGGACGACACTTGGATCAGTTAGGCAAATCTTGGCACYATTTCCAACTACCACAGTTCCTGAATTGTTGGTTATTTGAACATGTACTATGCTGTAGAAATTAGTTTTCCTTTTGTCGCAGAAAAGATTTTCTGAGACAGACCGTCTAACTTTTGGATTGTAGTTCTGTGACTGTG